GTCTGGGCTCTGGACGAGCTTGGGGACAGGGGCAGGGACAGGGACAGGCACTCATGCCGTGCTGGGAGGGTGCTGGGACCACCGACTCCCTGCCTGAGCCACTCCTGGGGCTGAGGGATGGTGGCCCCATGTGCACGATGAGTGACCCCCTTGGGGACACCCCCTGGGGAGGCGGGGGTGGAGGGGAGGCAGCGTGGGTGACACAGGTGAGGACTTCCCACCTCTCCATCTCTGGTCTCCACAGTTTTGACTACGATGCTCCTCTTCAGATGGGCTTCTGAGACAGATTTTGTGTCCAGGCTGGTCTCTAGGGGACATGAGGAGGACATGGCAGTGACCCAATGGCCTGGGGTGTAGCCCCTCCATCCACGCACAAGTGGAGGGGCCCAAAAGGAGCAAGTTGGGCTGGAAAACCCTGAACCCTGGCTGACAGTGGCCCTGGGGGCATGACCAGCCTCAGGGACACTGTTGGCCTTGGGGACATGGTTGGCCTTGGAGATGCAGTTGGGGACACAGCTGGCCTATTGGGATGTGGCTGGGGACATGGTTGGCCTTGGAGATGGGGTTGGGGATGTGGTTGGGGACGTGGTTGGTCTTAGGGATGCAGTTGGGGACGTGGTTGGCCTTGGGGACGCAGTTTGCCTTGGGGACATGGTTGCACTGGGGATGTCATTAGCCTTGGGGACACAGCTGGCACTAGAGACATGGTTGGCCCTGGAGATGTGGTTGGCCATGGGGACGTGGGTGGCTTTGGGAATGTGACTGGGCTTGGAGACAGGACTGTCCTTAGGGACACAATTGGCCTTGGAGATGTCATTGGCTTTGGGGATGTGGGTGGCAGTGGGGACATAGGGATGTGGTCAGTCAGTCTTAGGGACATCCGTGGTCTTGGGGACACGCTCAGCTTTGAGGTTGTGGCCATGGCACCTTCCTCCCCCCATCTTGGGAGAACCCAGGAGTCACAGTTCCTTGAAATTTGGAGGAAAACCTCCCGGTCCTGCTGGATGGGGCAGGGACGGCCAAGACCCAGAAGCCACCCGTACTTCTGCCACCACTCCAGCTCCCCCACCCGACACATGGCCGTGGCCTCACCTCTGATCTGCAGGTTGGAGAAGCTCTGCACGGGGATGGTGATCCTGCAAGAGTGATGTCGGGAAGAGCATGAGGTCCTGCCACCCACCAGCTCCACCCTTCCCAGGGCTGGAGGATGGTCCCCAAGCAGGTGGAACACCCCAGAGGGACCACGGGGACTTGGGCTTGGCTTGGGGCATGGCTGGGGATGGGGAGGGGGCAGGACGGAGCCCCCCGTGCTGCTGTCACCTGCTCTCCTCGCCCTCCAGCAGCTTGCGGTAGGTGGCGATCTCCATGTCGAGGGCCAGCTTGACGTTGAGCAGGTCCTGGTAGTCCTGCAGGTGCCGCGCCATCTCCTCCTTCAGGCTGCGGATGTCCTCCTCCAGCCGCACCACCGTGTCCTGGTAGGCAGCCGTCTCCAGGGCGTAGCGATCCTCCAGCTCCCGCACCAGGGACTCATTCTGGGGGGACACAAGGGGAGGTGACTCCTTCCACTGCCACCTTCTCCCAGGAGCTTGGGACTCTCCATGGTGCCCATCTGTCTCCCACCCTTGGGGACAATTCCATTCCCCCAGCCCTGGGTGGTGGTCCACACCATTGTTCCATACCCCATGGTGGTGGCAGCTC